TTTTAACTACATCAGGGCTAATTTTGATTATGATCTAAATAGCAGAACCGATTACTTATAACTCTGATCAAATTTAACAGAATAAGTAATTAATTTCGCTATTTAGATCACAAGAACTGTTCAAGCGTTACCTAAAAAATTTCACTGGCCAATCAGATTTCAAGATCAGGTGTGATCAGTGTTGTTACTAGCCTTAAGGCTAATATTTTTTACTTAGCCTTAGCCCTTGTCTAATTAGCCTTCTAATTAGCCTTAGCCTTTAGCCCATATGTGTAAGATTGTTTTAGCCTTAATTAGCCATGTCTAATTAGCCGTGTCCAATTAGCCGGGCTAATAACAACACTGGGTGTGACTAGTGATGTTGTCACATGACTGTAACTTGCCGTAACTATAGTAATATAATAAAGTTACGGCTATAATGCCGTAACTTCATTATATTACTTACTATAGTTACGGCAAGTTACAACCATGTGACAACTATCATTGGACTATCATTGGGACGATTCTACTGCATCACTAGGTGTGACGCAAAGACGCGCAAAAAATCAAAAAAATCACCCATAACTCAACATTTTGTCCATGGAGCCACGTACTAACAAAAGTTTTCCTTGCGAAATTTTGGTACTAACACAGCTTTTCCTAATCTAATTTAATAGCAAAACCTAACCCTAATCCAACAACGAAATTTTTTGGCAAAATTTTTTGGTTGGTAACGCTAGATCAGCTTAAAATTAGCACTTATCATTAGCAATTAGCCATTACGTATTGTCTGTATAATAAGAAGATTCCGGATCAGCCCGAATCTGGAATCCGAGCAATGACATAGTGTAGAAGGATAAATACATTACGGCGCATTTGTGGAATTAGGGAAATTAAGCAGATATAGTAGAAAGATGGGTTGAATGGTGGGAAGATGGTGTTACGAATAGGATTCTTAGAGATTCCATATAATGAATATTTTTTTTCTTTTTCTTTCTAAATATGTATAAGATTTTAGTACAATTCTATTTTCATAGCAGTAACCAATTCGTTACTTTGTAAATATTTAACTGCATGAGAATCAGATGAACCACGTAAACACCGAAAAAACCGCGTATAAGTGGTAACACAAAGACTGTGCATTGGAAACTTTCAGTGTCTACGTTGTTTTTACGGTGTATACACCCAAATTTTCACGTAAACCTTGAAATTTCGGTGTAAACGTTGAAATCTCGGTGTTTACGTGGTGAAAAAAATAAAATGTATATAAAGACCATGAATTCAATAAACGAAAGGAGAGTTTCTTGTCCAGTTTCAATTGCCATTAAATAGTAAAGCATATACTTATCGGAATTTTTCCCTTGAAACTTTTGTTCTTGAATTCGACTTGTAACTTTAATAAACCATTCGAGACTCAATTCGACGGACTGAATTGACTTGTAACTTCGATTTGGGTTATTAAGACTCGAATTCTGGTATCCCTGTGGAATCAAATATTGCCATTCACGTTAGTGACTTGCGGGAATTGTGGTAGTGAGCACCACCTACGTCTGGTTATTTCCTCTTGTTAATACATCACGTGGACTCAAAGTAATCACCGATATCACTTGATCGTCGTCCGCTTTTACGTCATCCTTAAAAAGATATCGTTAACATCACCACCCTTAAGATCATCATTGTCCTTGATATCACTCTGGATCATCGGCATCACCCATCACTACATCATCTCCTATTGATATTAAGGCATTTGTCTTGTAACTTTGCATTGTCCTATTAGTTTCTCAACCAGTATAAAAGACCTTCTTCGTTTCTCTAAGTTATCTTCATCTCCCCGTACACCGTTGGAGTTGAATTGGCCTTTCGTTCATATTATTTCATAAGCTCTCCTATCAACGGTTACAATGGGCTAGACGTCAGATTCGGGGTGCAGTAGTATATCATAATTAAATCAGGACATATCATAAAGTCAAATTAATTGACTCACTATCAGTAGTCAAATTTTTCAAAATTTGGGGTAGTTTACAAATGCGCCGTAATGAAGAGTCGGAAATTAAGCTTTAATTGTGTAACAAAAACGAATATAAAAATGAATGAATTTTTGTTTTCGTTTTTTTACCCTCAACCATGGCAGAAATTAGCAGTACTCGCGATAAAATATGCAAGCTCCTAACGGAAATGGATATACATTGCACTCAAATGTAAGTATAATTATTGTCGCAGATCATATTGAAATCGGATTAAAATGAAATGAAGGGTTTCTATTTGAGCCCCTAAAACCCACTTATACTTGTTTATTATAAAACCTGCTTCTAAACCCTAATCCTAACCCTAAAAAAATGCTAAAAAATGCATCCCAAAAACTTGTATTTTCGATGGCTTGTCTATTTTACACTGTCTCTCATTTCATTTTAATCTGATTACATTTTAATATGCCACAATTATTAATGGTTCCGAATTTTCATCTTAATAATGATTTTGTAATGTCTAGCGATGAGGTCCATATTGTGGGTACGCACAATAATCGTACCATCGTGGCACACGCCGCTAGCTATTCTCAAGAAGGTCGCCTTGATGTTAGAGATCTAAGGAAACTTGCAACCTTAATCGCTCGGTACCCTGACAATACCGTGGGTATTTTACTTTTACAAGATCATGATAGTCTCTCAAAAAAATCGGTCCAGTTGCTAGATACTTTGAGAGACAAGAACTTGGTTACAAACACGTTAAACCTTCACCGCGATCTTAGATGTAAATTAGGATATAACGATAGAGACAATTCCGCAAATTCTCTAAGATTTAATTTTGCTTTAGATTTTAAATTCACAAATATTGCAATTATAATGTTATATCTAGCAATAATTACTGTAATTTTGATATTTGTAATTAATTTTAGTGAATATAAGTATAAATTATTAATTTTCGATTGATAAATTGGGGTCTTTGCCTTGAAAATGACCTTACGGTACATGATACCGTAAGGTCATTTTCAAGGCAAAGACCCCAATTATTTGTTTACAGTATATTGATTTGAAGTTTTTTAATAAAATGCAATTAAAAAAAAAATGTGTGTCAATAGAAACCAAGCAGATAGTTTCTAAGTAATTTTTTTTTAATCTTTAAAATAAAATATTTCAACAACTATTAAACCAAACTTGGTAAATTTTTTGAAAGACACAGCGTGTAGGGGGATTTGTCCGCACACGTCATTATCAATGCACCTCATTAAACTTACAATAAGCATTTGGATTATTAAGAATGAAATGAAATTATAAAGTAAAATTTGACAAGAAAAAAATTTTGTTAGAGCACAAAAGTCTGTTTGTTATGTAAGTTTTTGAGATATGAACAATTTTAAGAACGAACAATTTTTTTTACGTTATTCCTGATCGTGTTACATTACGCTTGATCGCAATTTAATCATTGGTCAATTATCACATGTGCGGACGAGTCCTCCTGCATCCTGATACTGTTATTTTTTTGAGGAATGATTTTCGTACATCAGTTTCGTGTAACCTCACGTACATCCAAATAATAGTTATTTCACGTTTTATCATAGAATTATGCAGTATTGTGGCGTAGCCACAATGATGCATTGATATCGAGACTGATCCGTGATGTTTAATGATGTCGACGACAAATACGTGTAATAAAATGATTTTATTGCAGCTTTGCTTGAATGTGTGTCAGGTTTGTGGCGCAATAAAAATTCTTCAAAGTTCGTTTGTGTTAGGGTTAGGGTTCGGGATGTTTATACAGTAAAATTGTCTAGCGAAAACTTTTTGTTAAAGCACTAAAGGGTGTTTCCTATGCAGATTTTCAATAAATTGACGATTTCTGACAAAACAGACGTTTGTTTTGAATCTTCTTGATCGTATTACGTTACACCTGA